CTACTGGATTGCCCCATCCGGGATGAAGATAGCAGCTCAGGTCATTTATCACATGCGAGGCTGATGGCTCGGCTGTGCTTGTTTTTCTCTCGCCAATAAATCAGCCCTCGAATAAAAGGGTGGCCAATGAGATGAGGTGAGAGGGTTAAACTGGGAGAGAAACACAGCCCGCTGGACGTTTTTAGGGAGCTTCTGCCGCCACTCAATCGCCTGCCCAATCGGGGTCCCAACTCTGCAATTTATGAGCTCTTGGGAGCAGGTCTAGACTTTGGTCTTTCTTTGCTCAGCGAAGAGTCGCCACATTAAACCGGGTTATTCTGAGGGATGCATCAATCCAGCAGAGATAGAATGTGATACGACAGCAGGAAAACAATGGATAAATGTTATTTAAAGGGCAAGTTCAACATTTGGTAGATAGATGTCTACTGTGGGTTATATTAGCTTAGCTCGGGGCTTGAAATACTTAAACAGTCATAGTAGCAACAAAAATAACAGTTATCTGACCAGCCCTTGACAATGAGCTGATTGTCATGCCAATCTGCTCTCAGTCATTTTTGCCTTTGTTCTACGCAAAGGTAACATATTGTCCATGTCTTAGAGAAACCGCTGAACAACATGATCTGAGACACCATTAGGATGGATAACTAAAGATGTTCAACCTGGGATGGTAAACCAACTTTTGGTAGCTTAGCTTAGCCACAGGACTTCATGTGACTACAATTTCATTCTAGCTTAGCATAATGCTAGCAAAGATATCTGACCGGTTCTTTCCTATTCCTTGTTCTCCATTGTACTACGAAAAATAAGCAAGCACAAATTAGATCATTGTAGCTATCCAAGTCATTTCTTGGCCATGGGCTGATTGAAGATAATATATTATCAGAGTCAAAACTGATGCTTGATTCAATGTACAGTAGTATGAAAAAGACATTAATAGAATAGATTGCCTTTATTTAAAAGAGTAATTCAATCTGTCAGTAAGCTTCATGACATGATTGTGTTATGAATGCCTGGAAAAAAAAAGTAATTCCATAGCATCAAGCTAAGCTAACATAACAGCACTGTCCAATGACAACCCTTGAAGTCCACTGAACGACTATTTATTTATTTATTTATTTCATGTCAACAATGATGAAATTATATTTTATTTCACGGTGTTGGTTTCAATAAACCGAGCCCTGTAATATTTTGATTTGGCCACTGAACACAGGTCGAAATCAAGTTGTTGAATTAGGATATTAACAATGGACTCTGCTGATTTCAAGGTAATATTAGCAATTCAATTCCCTTGAGAGCATTTGATTCAGCCCGTCAAGCAATTTGAAAAACAATAAAACGTCAGAAGAACGGCGAGGAAAAGCCGACAACTACTGCCCTGGAAAGTAAAATGGTGACCCATCCATGCATCAAAAGAAGCCTCTCCTATTAGGATAACCTCTACTGCCTTCAGCAAAAGAGCTGGAACGCTACTGGTGCTGCGGCATCGAGCCAGACTGGCTTTATTTACATTCAAGCGAGGGGAGCTGACGTGACCTGACACGGTTCATGGTTCCACCAGTAAAGCCTGGCTGGGCCGGGCCGGGCCGGGCCGCCAACCTCAACCTTGAGACCTCGGGGGTCAAAACGATCTGCAGCGTTTCACAGATGAAGGTGACTGCAGAGACATGTGACTGTGCTCTTTGCTTTAAATCCACAGCTCTGGGATTGACTTAAGATAAGAGGAGCGCCAAATGCGAACTTATACCTCGGGGTCATGAGATGGAGAATTCAAACAAGACCAGGGGAGGAATCCAATTTCTGTAATGCCTGACACTTGGTCAAGTTACACTATATGTGCAGTTTATCTGAAGATTTATTCAGAAACAGGTGCTCCCCCCTCCCCTACCCCCTTGTAGAGCGAGCAGGGAGTAAAGCCTCACTTCTCTATATAATCTGATCCACTCAGAGAATAAGTTCTCAACAAAGCCAACTCAAGGTCAATGACGGGGGCCATGTCAAAAGAAGGTCATGAGAAAATTCGAATGAAAGTAGCATCATTCTCTAGGCTAGTGCCTACAGGCTCTGCATAAACTGACATCTTCGCCGCTGGTTCACTTTGCGTTCATGCTGGCTGCCCAGAAAAAAAGCATCTGAATCAAGTCACAACCTAATCGGACAGCATTTGTGACTTTCCTAATTCCAAAACAAGAATGCTGCCGAGTGGGTGACTCCATACGCCTCTGGTGGCATTTTTACCGAGTGAGACGTGACAAACAAATAAGACAAAGGCGCTCATAGTTTCTGGAACCGACATGAGGGAATGTTTACTAAATAGCTGCCTTTACATGTGCTTTGCACGTTTGCACAACAAACAAATCTTTTTTTTTCCCCTTCATGTGTCAAAATTCACCATTTTCTTCAACGCTCAGTCTATTTTGCCATATTTAATTCATTAGTTTTTTCAAAATTAATCTCTCCCAAGCTCAGCTTTCCCAGCGTGACCCCTGTGATGCCTGGCAGGAAACAGTGGACTTGAACAGATCTGAGTTAGGCAGTGGATTTCTGAAGGCTGTGCACCAAGTTTGGTGCGGTGACTGTAACTCAGCCCCCCCACCACCCCCGACTGTGGTTTGGGACGGTGTGGACGCAGGGGTGAATTGCGGGTCAGCCATGGAAAAACGTCCTTTATTGTCTGTGTCATAGAATGAGGGATGGACGGAAGAGTAGGGAAGAGAAAGAGATGGATGAGAAAGATCAGAGGGGTGGGAGTCGGCGCTGAGATCATTCAGATCGAGATAAAAGAGGTTTTGGGCCCCTTTCACACTGCATGTTAAAGCCGGCTTTTTCCTGTGTGACTATTTTGTGTGGGTGGTACCAAAGTGGAATGTGGGGAAATTGTGTTGCTGTGTCACAAGGTGCCTTGAGATATGTATCTTTATTTGTATTTTTTTTGCCCCATCTAACCCCACTTGGTAGTATGGAAAGGCCATTAATCCATTCCCACATTAATCCATACCTTGAAGTCTCCATTTTGAACATTTTTTTTTTTTACGAATCAGCCAAAACTGCAGCTTGTTGTGACGTACAGTGAGTTTATTTCATGGCCACTAAAAACTCCTGATACTTCAAATGTTGGCTCACAATTCAAAGCCAAATATAATTCGCACAACAGTTGGTATCTCCAAAAATTTGGGTCATTTGTATCTCGGGGCTACACCGTCCAAATTGTGACTTCAATATCCTCCTGTGAGAAGCACAGACTGATTTCATCCGGGCTCTACTGGCTCTGGTAGAGCAATTTTGTGGAAATGCATTCAAGGGGCTTCTGACTCTGTCGGGAGATAGTGAGTCAAACATGGAGAAAGGTGGACGGGCGGACATGTCCAGTTTTCCCGTCTGATTTATTCCCATTTCCAGATGTTTTACCGAGACGCGCAGCTGGATCCACGTTGGCTACCTTTAAAGCTCGGCCAAAATCCTTGATGCAGTATTTGTATCAAACGGCGGTTTAAACAAAGCTTCCAATACGTACGCCGCCAACTCGAGAAGTCGTCACCTGACTATTTCTGAAACTTTGCAAAAAGCTTACGGAAAATAACGGGGAGGATACACAACCGAGCGTACACAAAAGAGATCCGGATTATCAAACAAGATGATTTATACCAGATTTTGAGGGGTCAAATTTCTTTGCCGCGAGTGATTGATGAGCGTACGGTAATTGTCCATTGTGAGGAGATGTCAGAGCGAAGGCAGCGTGTCACCTCGCAGTGAGAGTAAAAAGTGGCGAATGGAAGTGATTACGTGTAATATTCTCCATCTGGCAGCCATTGGCCCGCGAGACGACTTTCAAAGAGGAGGAGAAGGGGAGAGCGGCAACACTAATTTGCATGGGATTTACAAATCTCCTGATCTCCAACGTTGGCGCACATCTTGTTCGATTCCCTCGAGACCATCCCTCATGAAACGAATTCAACAGCAGACAACACGTGTTCGACGGAACAAACGGCAGCCCCACGTATCTGACGCTAATGCTCTATTTATCCGCTTATTGATTGTGACGGGAATTTATCAAAGCGGGCTTGGTGAAGCAGCATGTGGCGAGTTATATTTTGTGGCTGTTGTATTTTTGTCAGACAGCAGAAGACTTTGTCTAGCGCACTCCATGCATCGTTCTCATCTTGCGAGGATTAAATTCAAACGACAACGTTGAAGTATCGATGTTTTCCCCGGTGTTTATGATGGGCGATATCGAGAATGTTGCCACAACAGGTCATTGCACAAAAATCCCTCAATCACCAAATCTTTTGTTGGACTCTGTCGGTATATCTCGGGCAGTTGTCTGAGCGCGAGCCACTCCACCAATGATCGCCGGCGTGTCCAGAGTGGAGCAGCGGTGAGGTCACAAGTGATCAAAGCGTGCTGAGCGAGCATTATCTGGTCCCAATTACATTCAATCACGGGCAATTTGGCAAGGCGAGCAAGAGAGAGCGCGAGAGCAAGAGGCCAGAGGAGCCCAGGTGGTCCCTGCGGACATTTCCGCCATAAAAAATGGAGATCGGAATAGTATTTGCTATTTTCTTTGAGAACATTTTTGATACAACCTCCGATGAGAAGCATCAATTATACTTCTGTTATGCTTTTCACTTTTAGAGTATAAAGGAGCATTTGAAAAGTGAGATCAATTTTGAGTGTCAAAAAAGGCGTGTCCAAAAAAAAAAAGTTCAAATTTCCATAGACGCAAATAAAAGCAAATTATGAAAACACTTCACCAATGCGGTGAATGCAGCTCATGGAATTAGTAAGGGCCTCCTGTTTTTTTTTTCTTCATTGAGCCGATATCATCTTCATTAAGGGTAATGGGGAACAATTCAAGTGTGTACTCGGTAATTTTGTTTTTGGCAGTCGTGAAGTCTTCATTGCCTCATTTGCGAGTCCGTCGCCACAAAATAAGCAGGAGCAAGATTGGTGTGTGAGAATCACCTGAAGCGATGAATCCATTTAAAAAAAAAAATTTAAGTAGGACTCTTGATATTTCTCTCAAATGCAATCTCCTTTTTCTTGGAATTTGGAAACTGTTTTTCTCTCATCATTTGGCCTTTTGCCCTTTCTGAAAGAAAAAAAAAACTCGACATTTGTTGGCATTTTTTTTTTTTTACTCATTTATTTTTCATATGGCCTTATTTTTTTTCGACGTTATATCAAGTGACCAGGACGAGCAGATTGATTTGTGAGGCAGAGGCACCAGATTTCAAAATCCAACTTCTTTCAAAGCCTGATGAATGACGATCGTCCATTTTGGAAACGTTCTATCTGCATAAAAAGCCAACGATTTAACTGTTATGTCATGTTGTGTGAACACAGTAGTCCCTCGTTTTTGGAGGTGTCACGTTCCAGAACCAATTGGGATTTATGAAAATCCGCAAAGCAACCACATCTTTGTTTACTTTCACTCCCGATATTGCTTTATTATTGCAAAAGCTCAGCAATCTAAAATTAGCTGCGTACGATTTCTAAACAGTGAGACCACAAAAAGTGAACTGCGCTATGGCGTATGATGACGATACATTTCAATAAACCATTTTTTTAATCCATCGAAACCATGATCATTTGACACGTAGTTGACCATACGCGTTAAGAACAGCTTCACGCGGCAATGACAGTGCCGAGCATGACTTAAAAGTTCCTGAGACTCTGGGCTTTGAATAATTAACGACGCCTACTGTTTGACAATGTGATGATAATTTGGGAGAACTCGAAAAGCTGATCGGGCTCAAACAAAGGCTGGTCATTGTATCCCGAAAGGAGCTGAACAGACTACATTTCCCCGCCTATTGAATGCTGATAGAGTGAGAAGAGATAACCAGCAAGGCATGACAAAAGGGATTTCTCTCACTAAAGATTTCCCCCTGATTTGTCAAGCGGTTCCCCCTTCTCCACGGATTGGCCAGCAGACCTCACGTTAAAAAAAAAAAAAAAAAAAACTGACCCTGCAGTGTCTATACCTCCTCTTTCCATCCCCCACCACTGCGGCCCTCACCCCCCCCTTCCCTCCCCGTTGCCTTTCTCCCTCTCCCGCTTGCCGTGACCCATCTTGCACCTCCCGAAACCCACAACAGACGCTTGGTGTGTGAAGAAGGTCAGGAGTTCAGGCTGGGCTGAGGCTCCAAACATCCCTGCGCACAGAGGAGGCCTGCCCCGTGGATTTATAATTATCTGCCGTTGGCATTCAGCACAGGTTCAAGCGTAGTGCAAGCGCTGGCACCCGTGCGGGGGGATGCGCTTGGCTAAACACTGGGTGATTAGTTGTTCCTAATTGTCAGTTTCTTGCTCCTGTTACCTTGCTCTCCCAACGGTCTGCCTCTCTCCACCTCACCCGTTTCAACATTTTTACAGAAAACTTTTCATTTGGTTCGTTCTCCGAAAAAAAATGCACTCGGCTGTGTTGCCTTGTGCTCCACTCTACTCGAGACCACTGGTGGCGGTCGCGCTCACAAATAGGTCATCTTGATGCCGTCCTGTTTCCAGTCATTCCGATTTTCAATTCCATTTTGTCACAGGTGTCAAACTCAAGGCCCGGGGGCCAGATCTGGCCCGCCACATCATTTTATGTGGCCCACAAAAGCAAATTAAACATGTCAACTTCCGTGATGCTTGCTAGAATCTCAACCAAAATTTAAAATTCTCATATGTACTAAATATATCTTGTGGCCAAACCCCTCATTTACAGTAATTTAAACAATAGTTGAACAAACTGTTATTGACTTTAAAATTTGATTTCAGTCATAACGGCCCTCCAAGGGAAACGGTAACTAAAATGTGGCCCACGACATAAATGAGTTTGACACCCCTGCATTAATCCGTACAATCCAGGGGAGTTTAGAGATGTTTTTCCGCATCACAAGTTGAAAAGGGTACCAAAAAACGGTTTTGTGCCAGATGCAGAAGAAGATCTGCCCTAAAATGATGCCTGTTGTTTTCTGGTCTTAGCTGCACCCACATCCAGGGTGGGAGTGACTTTGCCTCGTCCATGTACTGTAACAATGTGTGCCTCCACGGTTTTAACTGGATTCAACTAGTAAGCGTGGCAAAGAGTGACACGGGGAGAACCACAGCAAGAGAGAATGTCACAGTGATTCAGCAGCTAAGATCAAGTCACCTCTCAAATTATGTGTGCCAAAGAGCGTGCCGAATCTAACAATCCCCGTGTGAGTGGTTTTGAAGTTCACTAAACTAAAACTTTGGCTTTGGGTGAAAATTCACTCTCTCCGCCTGCTCAGCTGGCCAAACAAAATTTGATTTCGGTCATAACGGCCCTCCAAGGGAAACGGTAACTAAAATATGGCCTACGACAAATATGAGTTTGACACCCCCGTACTAATCCGTGCAATCCAGGGGAGTTTAGAAATGTTTTTCCGCATCACAAGTTGAAAAGGGTACCAAAAATGGTTTTGTGCCAGATGCAGAAGAAGATCTGCCCTGTCCAAAATGATGCCTGTTGTTTTCCGGTCTTAGCTGCACCCACATCCAGGGTGGGAGTGACTTTGCCTCGTCCATGTACTGTAACAATGTGTGCCTCCACGGTTTTAACTGGATTCAACTAGTAAGCGTGGCAAAGAGTGACACGGGGAGAACCACAGCAAGAGAGAATGTCACAGTGATTCAGCAGCTAAGATCAAGTCACCTCTCAAATTATGTGTGCCAAAGAGCGTGCCGAATCTAACAATCCCCGTGTGAGTGGTTTTGAAGTTCACTAAACTAAAACTTTGGCTTTGGGTGAAAATTCACTCTCTCCGCCTGCTCAGCTGGCCAAACGGTCAGTTGCCAAAGAGGCCTAATCTAACAGTAGACTGCTACAAATTACAAAAGAAACACTCACGCTAATGTTAGCGCACCGTGTCTGTTCCACATCTGGGTGATGCTTTTTTTCCCTTTTTTTCCTTTTTCTTTGTTTTTTTTTTTTTTTGAGTCAGTCTCCACCTTGCAACAGCGACCGTCAGCCTTCCCTCAAAAAAAAAATGTCTTTCCTGACAGATCTCTGGTGATATTTTAGTTGTATTATAATAATATACAGTGGTACCTCTACTTACAAAATCAAAACGGTTCTGGAAGAACTTTCTTAACTAGAAAATGTTGTAAGTAGAGACATGTTTCCCATGTAAATGCCCTAATTCGTTCCAAGCCCCCCCCAAAATTCAGACATAAAAGTTTTCCAAAGCATAAAAATGCATCAAAATATGGAACAATTACACGTGTTTTTGTAACATGTAACATGTCTAATTGTAACATGTTACAATTAGATGATTGCACAATACATGAGAGTTGTGCATAATTTAAAAAACAAAGAATAATGAATAAAATGATGGTCATTTAACTTTTAACTATGTCTTCATCGTTTTTTGCCCTCTGAATAAAAACTAACTTTTAACTATGTCTTCATCGTTTTTTGCCCTCTTTCGTTCATGTTCTCTCTCAGAAGTGGTTTTTGCCTGGCGTTTTGTAAAGAACTGATCCAAGGACGTTTGCTTTTGTCGGCTTTTAACAATCCTTTGAAAAAGTCCAAGGCAAACATCAGCATAGTGAGCGATCGCCCGACTAGTGAACACTTTTTCTGGGTGATTCACATTTACATAAAACTATCCGAACACCTCATGGCCCAAGGCAATATTTTCCTGTTGAGGCGTTGCATAACTTGAAAATTTCGTATGAAGAGACGTTCGTAAGTAGAGGTACCACTGTAACTGGAAACGAGAATACTTTGAACATATAAAGCAGATATATTGCGGGAGCGGTATACACAAAGGAAATATAACGGCACTATTGCGAAAAAAAAAAAGCCTAATGGTTCAAGTGCTCAGCACATCATGTTTTGATTTGGAACGAACACTCGACATTAAAATGTTTTTCACAGAAAATAAATAACGGATTTTGTTTTATAATGTGCAAGAGACAAATGCGGAGGAATAACTCGTAAAAGCGCGCTTTCTAAAGGAGTACCGGAGCTTTTCCCTCTGACAGCAGATGCAAGAAATATGCCGTGGAAAACCTTTCAAGCGAACAGACAGAGGGGACCTGAAGTTATATAGATGTCTTTCACAGATGTCGGTCTGGCCCACAAGCACCGTCTTGGGAAAACCAGGTGGCTAGAACAGACTGTTTTCTTGCCTTGGCGTGTTTTCTTCATACAAACTTGAGTTGGCCTTTTTTTTTTTTTTGTCTTGATCCCTGACCCTCATCCTCACCCTCTCCCTAACTGCTGCAGATGTTCCCAGCAACCCAGCTGGTTCCACTGAAAGTTTCTTGGGGACTTTCCATCTCGCGTCAACATTGGCAAGCGACGGACAGCGTTATAAATGACGTGAGATAAAACCATTTCTCAGTGCCTTTTGAGATCATCTCTACGAGTCCATCACGACTGCTCATGAAAGCACATCTCCAGAGCTCCAGGCGGACCCTGAAGTGGTCTGACTACTGAAGGGGGGTGCCGGGGGGGGAAAAAAAAGGTGTTGGGGAAAATAGAATGAGAGCAACAGCAGCCAGGCAGATGTGAGGCCTGGATGTCTGCCAAACAGCACCCCACCTTCCCAGAGTGGAGCCTTCATCTCAGTATGAGTGAGGGAGAGGAAGGGGAAGGTGGTGAGGATCACAGTAGGGAGTGAGTGCGTGGAACGGGGGACAGGGAGAGAGCCTTTTCTAAAGGCAAAGAACATCCTCCAAATCTCTTTGGCAACTTTACAGTGCGACTGCTCATACACGGTTCAATCAGCAACACCAGCTGATCCTACGGAGGGAACGGAAAAAAAAAAAAAGCACATTAAATTGAACACATAGAACATACTGAATGGCGTATTATTCTCAAACATTTTAGTGGAGACTGGAATTAGTCCTTGGAGTCTTCCAATAAAGTCTATATTTAACTCTTGCACAGGTGGTCCAAAAAAAAAAAAACCCTCACACTTTTGTTGCATGAGAAGAAGAAATTCCCAATTTTTGCCAATTTCCAACTCCTGCGAGGGGATGAGACACGGTCTTTTGACAGGTGTTTGTTTGAATATCAAACAGAGCCACAGAGGCCTGCAGATGGTGTGCAGATTGCATTCCAAACAGCAG